CATATATCAGGATCGGAGAAAATGGAAGAAAGAGAGGAGAAAGAAGAAAGGAAGAATGGAGAGATAAAGGGGGAGAGAGAAAGAACTCGGCAAGAAATACCCGAGCTCGACTCTACCTTGATGGGAACCGCAAACCAAGGGTGTTGTTCCGGTACTTGAGGTGGCGAACCGTATGGGCTACCGCACTTCAGCGCCAATGTGGCGCTTCGTCAGCCCCCCAACAATGCCATTGTGTTGTGTCATTTGTGCAGCAACCGGGTATCCTGCTAAAAGGGCAAAATCGTAAAATTTTACCCAAATTTGCGGCTTTAATGAACCCAAAACACATCAAGAGTAAAATCGAATATTTTTTGAAAACTTAATGACTTTTATGACATTAGCCCGAGAATTATTCTCTCAACTATTTACGTGAGAGCCACATTTTCAACACAACTACAAAATATACATTGTCTTTTATTATATATAATCTTTAAATCTACCTATCTAATAATTAAAACCTTTTATTGCCACGTGTCGCTTTTTTAGAACCTAATTTGACACGTGTCATCATAACGTATTTCTAAGTTTTTATTTTACCGCTTAAATTTCTTGGTCCACGATTGTTACGATTCCTTTGTTTTGGATTAGGATATCCCATAAAATCAGTAGGAAATCTTTAACAAATTATAAAATTAATAGCAAGAAATTCGGCACCTAATCTTTTCCAAATTTGAATCGAATACCCTACGCCCCTTCCTCCATAATTGTGTCTTCCTTCTATATTTTTCAAATATTTGCTTCATCTTCTATACTCTCCATCGGTTGTTCTTAATTAAAAGGTTGTCACCATGTCTCCGTGAACGAAGTTATGTAAGGTTTCTTCACTCAAACTCTTATCATTTCCTTCTGATTTCGACTTTCTTCTTTTCTTCTTCTCTAATTTGACGAGACCTCGTGCTTCTTTTGCTTGAATTCCTATCTGATTTCCATGGGTTTAAGTATCATATGGTTAGAAATAACAATCATGAGTAAGTCAACCTGCCTAATCTCCTTTGGGTTTAGGTGTCGGATGGTCAAACTGCCCTCGGAGAACAACCCTTTAAAACTATAATTTAAAGTTCAAAATCCCCAATTCAGTTACTATATTTTATCACTTACAGATATTGTAATGTTTCTCATAGGATTCAAACAAAAATGATTTATTTTGAAGAAATATGGATGAAATTGTTGCTAAAGCTAATTTTGGTCTTGATACACAAATGGAAACTTCATACGTCATATCTCAAAACGTAAGTATTACATTTATGGCTATTATATACAATGCAGTTTTCTTTCTTGATGTCAGAGAGTATTCTTTTTAATCCCATCGTTGATTTGTAGTGGAGTACGAAATAGATTGATATGTTGAAGTGGTCATGTGAAATGTTTTTGTATTAACAACCTTCTACACATTTTAGTACATTTTATTTGATTTAAGATATTCATATATCTTTACTTCTAGGTTTCCATGTGAACTATTCTAAATCAACTTTGAATGTAAGCTTAGGCAAGTAAATTGATTTTGATTATGATTAATTAATGTCTTTTTATGTATTATTCCATGAATTGGAGAGAATTAATGGGATGCTCCATGTTGGCGGTCAAATAAAACCATACCAAGGGTTGCATCTGTCATTTTGAGGTAAAAATATTCCTCAAATCAAAGCGCTTTTAATTAGAGATTATTCTTTTTTTGTAGAAGAAATTCATTCTATTGATCAATTTACATTGTTTAAGAGTATCCTACCACGAAGACACCCTAGAAAAACTCATTATAAAAGGTTGGTATTTAGAAGATATTAAATATATAACCATCTTTGGATTTTGGTATCTACAAAGGGTCTAATTGTCATTTTGACATTTGCATATAGAAATTATTTCTAAGTTGACTGTGATGTCTAATTCTATTGTTGATTGGACGTTGAAGTTTGCTTCACATGATTCAAGTGTTGGTGTTTATTTCAAATTTAAATTGATGGGTAAAAACATAAACAAATGAATAAAAAAAGAAAAGATGGACGACTAAACAAAATGTATGTGAAAAAGGTCAAAATGGTCAAAGTGAATAAAAAATAGAAAAAATAAAAACTTAAACGAATAAAAACAGAAAAAAAAACACTGTAGTTGAATTGCAAGGTTAAGGATTTGGTAAGAGCAATGATAGGACTAAATTGCCCTTTTTCCCTTTAATCATTTTTTTGCAGCAGATCATCCACCCTTATAGTAAAAAAGGTTAAAAAAAACTAAACTTTACATAAGAGAAGTATGATGTTATATTATGATTATTAGTCTTTAACAAAATAAGAATATTTGAGTAAAATCGATCCATGTTCAAAAGAAATGAAATATAAAACAGGATCCATACTTTCAATGATGTGTAATTTAAAAATCAATCAAAAATAGATTACTAAATAGCATGGTACTTCTGAAAATTTATTTTAAAGAGAGAATTTATGAAAAACTTAATCCAGATGAATAAAAACATAAACAAATGAATAAAAACAGAAAAGATGGATGAATAAACACAATATATGTGAAAAGGTCAAAATGGACAAATTGAATAAAAAATAGAAAAAATAAAAACTCAAACAAACGAATAAAAACAGGAAAAAAAAAGCATTGTAGTTAGATTTTATGGTGGTGGATTTCGAAAGAGGCATGAAAGGACAAAATTGGCCTTTTTCCCTTTAATCATTTTTTTGGAGCAGAAGATCCACTCTTATAGAAAAGAAGGTTAAAAAACTAACATTTCTATTATAAGAGTTTTACATAAGAAAAGTATTATGCTATATTATGTTAATTAGACTTCAACAAAATAAGAAAATTTGAGTATTATGCTATATTATGTTAATTAGACTTCAACAAAATAAGAAAATTTGAGTAAAATAGATCCCTGTAAATATAGAGCAATTGCACTAGATAGATTAATGGTGAGGCATACCTTATGATTTAGAAAGTAAGTATAGATGTATCTAATAAATCTAAAAAACTACAGTTGGTAAATAATCATATTATTCATCGTATTTTTTTAAAGGTATTTTTTAAATAAATTATGAGTACTCTTAAGATTAACTATGTTTTATTAAACAGGGCCGCAAGGAAGAAGATACTATGGATGCTCGATAATTAAATGGCATTTGGACACAAGTAGGTGAACTAATTTATACAACTTTAAAAAAATTTGAGGTTACTAAGTGGAACTAAACTGAAAGTTGGTTAGTAAATTTATTATAAATAAGTTTCCAAATACATTGTCATGTATTACCTTATTATAATAAGGTCAATAGTCAAGTGGTAAACATATCACTTTTACTTTTCCATGTCTCTTCTCTTCTTGAGTAGACCACTGAAACCTTTTCCTTTTTATCAAATTCAAAATATTATCATTTTGCCAACCAATTATGTGCATTCTAAGCTCTCCAATATTTTTTTCAATATCATTCAAATTTTATATACTTTTACTTTTTTTTTTCATCCTGTAAGTTTTTTTTTTCATCTATTAAATATTGTGGCATGGTCTTTCAAGTTGTGTATAATGGTTTGTTTATAAGGAAATATTGATTCTAATAATTTGAAAAACATGCATGTGTTAAGGTCAAAATCTTGAAACATGGTTCTTAATTTTTGACACCATGGTATTGAAGCATGTTTCTTAACTTTTTGAGAAGACTCTTCCACAATGATCTTCATATGTATGGGGACATAATATAAATGACAAATCAATATTACAGTAATCCAGTTTGTGCCTTAGTTAAGGTGCAAGTAATAAACAAATGCAAACTAAAAGACTATGTTATTATATTGTTGGTGTCAATGATTAATTAAGATGATGCTACAAAGGACATTTGAAGATTTTATTTAATTTCTCTTTTAAATCATATGGCCACAGAGGTGGTATTGGTATCTCATAGAAAAAGTCAAAGCTAATCAATCATAATGCAATGGTTAAATGAAAGTTTGGTATATTATTTTAGTTCCCTCCTCTAGATGATTAGTTTCCCCCTCTATTATTATAAATTTTATCTTAAAAATAATAAAAGACGAGATTTGATTTCCGTATTTGTGTTTTATTTGAAAAAGCAATATTATTATTATTTATTTATTATTGTTAACTATAAATAAATAGTTATATATTTATATGTAATATAGCAAGCTTCGATACAAATATATATTTCAAAAATATAAAGGGTTCATATTAACATATAAATCAATTCTATCCATATTAATAAATATTGTGTTTTCAACAATTTAATTTTTCCGCATATCTCCAAATGTCTTCAATTTAAGAAAACTAAAACATTATTTTATTTTTAAATATATTTTTCAAACTTATTTTTAATAGTTATATAAATTTCAAAAAAATCCATATGATGATTTTAGATATCCAGATTTATCATCTAAATTTGAGAGATGAGTTTATTTGAATTTATCTTCTAAATTTAAAATATACGTTTATTTTATTAAAAAGTATATAAAATTGGTGTTTGTAAATTTATGATTAATGAATGTTTTTGTTATTATACATGTTATTTTAATTTATCAACCGTATAACACACGAGTTTTAAGGATGACAATTTGATCAATAAAACTTCTAATATTGTATAAAAATAAGTGTGTCAACATGTATGTTAAAATATCATGTTTATTTTACTTATTACATTAATTCAGGTTTACTTACAATTCAAAATATGTTATATTTTTTGTTGACATTTAATATATTTTTTTTCTATATAATAATTTTAAACATATCAATCGCGGTTTCTACGGGTTATAACCTAGTAGATATATAAAGTAAGTATGAACGCAATAATTGGTTCACCCATTTCACAAAAGATTATTTTTAAAGTAGGCTCCCATTACATCCACTTCAGCAACGGCCATACGACTAGAAAAAAGCTTCTCAAAATTTGAATTTATAACCTGCTCAACGGACAAACTTCAATCAATCCTATCTCTCCAAATTCATCTCTACCATGAAAGTCATGAAAACCCTAAAAACCCTCAAGTTCTGGTCCAAAAAGAAGAAAAAGAAAAAGATCACCAATCTCCACCACCAATCTCCGCCACCATGCTGCTGCTGCCACCACCCAGTTCAGCCTTCAGCTCCGCCCTTACCCACCTGGATAGATTACGAGGAGCAGACCTACACTCAACATCTCTTGGAATATGAGGTAAACTTCTCTGAATTTTCAGGATTGCCAGTTTCATATCAAGCTCACATTGATCCACAAGAAGATAGCATCGGCAATGTTCCACCTGAACCTGTGAATCCACCATTGTCATCAGAATCTAGTGGTGGTGGAATCGGTTGTTCTTATCAGCAGTACTTGGTTGAGAATCCGGTTAATGGAGTTCCTGTGTTGCAATCGAGAAAAACAGAGAGATCTGCTGGTGGCGTTGGATGTGTGTTTAATATTGGTGCACATCTGTTCAGGTGCTTCTTCCCATGTTTTCGGATTAGAGATGTCTAAATTATGCTTTTTTGGATCACTATTTCAAAAAAATAAGTCTTTTTTTTTATTATTATTATAAAGGTTGTGTTATAGATGTATATGCATATACAAGTATAAAACCAAAAAAAATAAAATTAAAAAAAAATTCAAGACAGACAGACTCAAACTCTCAACTATTGGCTTGGGCTATAAACCATTAGTAGTCTTATCTATCTTTGATTTGTTTGTTATAAATAAAATACTTGTGTGGAATGGCCTTTTTTGCTTTGACGTTGCTATTCATTAGATGTGCACTCATGTTTAATATATATTTAATAAGACAGTATAAAAAAACCAAAATCGAACACATACTCAAAACCTATATATGTGTTTTGAAAAATCAACCACTTTGTTTTAAAATATTTTAGAAAAACTTTAAGGTTCGATTCAGTTTTTGTTTTGAATCCCATGATTATTGAGCAGTTTGTTGGCGAAAGATTGCATTAAGGGTGTGTTCGACAAAACTAGTTGGTAGCTGGTAGCGGATAGCGATTAGCGAGTAGCAAGTAGCGGGTAGCTTTTGATCTAACAAACAAGTAACAAAACAGTTACGGATTTTGTAAATCAAATAACTTGAATGATCTAACCCTAATTTAGATGGCCAACATGAATCAAAATTAAAATCCAACTTTTAATTAATACGAAACCAAATTCACTAGATAGACTACGAATTCAACATCAAATCATATGATCAACTACATAAAAAAGAACTTGAAACTACGAAATCGGATCTGTTAACTAAAATACAATAAATAAATACTACAAAATACTAAATAATTGATGATTGAATTAGCATCAAAAAACTGATTTAGACTTGTGATCATGGATTGTTATGTGCGATGATTTTTTTACAATTCCTAGTTTGGCCGCAGTTGTCAACAAACTTTGACAACCCGTTTCGCCAAACACTCAATTAAAACAAGCTCTTTAACCAAGTTGCGAACTTATCTAACTAAAACAAGTGTTTCAATTAGAACTGACTCACTACAAAATTATCAAATGAGCAATTTGTAATTAGTTGAGAGCCGTATTAAAGCACAAATGAAACAACAAACACAATGAACCCTCACGTAAGCTCGCAGAATTTACATTGTACCAACATGATTTCATAATAAAAGTTAAAACTCTAACTGGGTTGCTAAAGCCCAACTAAAATTGTAACAAAGAAATTAATGAAAATCAAAAATCATACAGATAGAAGTGTAGTAAATCCAAATAACAATCTCACACAATGATCTAAATAATTAAACTAATTCAGACATCAAACCCGGTGGTTAACCGTCTTAGGTTTAGACGTTTAAGACGGCTAAATCCCGGAAACTATGTAATCGCCAAAAATAATAAACTTCCAAACCAAAATAAAATTGTTTGATGCTAAGAACCAAAAAGAAGCTTCCGGTCATCGATCCTCCTTGCTGCTATCGTGTGTCAAGATTAACCCCTAAAAAATACGTGAGTCCTCTTTATTACTAAAAGGTCATAAGTCCCCCATTACCAATTTGGGCTTTAATCCCATGTAAATCAAAATTATGGACTTAAGTGGTTGCCATATTGCTTTGTAGGCTTAAATGGTCCTTTTGGCTAGTTTTAACGGCTAAATTGGGCTGCCAAAACAGATTTTGGGCTTAACTTAATCCACAGTGGGCTGCCAATTTATGATGTTGGGCAGAATTTTTGCTGACGTCACCCAAAGGTGCAACAAAGGTAGTCCAAATCCAATCTCCACTGTTCATATTAAAGAACTATGAGTTAGCTAGACATCGATAAAACTTAAGCTCGATCGAACCACGTTTACCCCTCGATCCGATCTCTTTACGAAGACAACACATTGCTGCCAAATTTCCAAAAAATATTTAAATTGTTTCGTTTTATTGTTTTATCGTGGATGTTGTTACAAGACTTCAAAAGTGTTTGCAAGGTCTTCCATGTGACTTCTATTGGTCCTCGAAGATGTCATTATCCACTTATATAAGTCTGCACAAACTAAGCTTAAACGAGTAAAATTGCTCCAAACAAACAATGTAATAAAACGTATGAAATGCATGCTAAATATACACAACATGTCATGAAAATAATTAAGAAAATATACTAAAATGATACATAAAATCAACCTAACAAATCTCCCCAAACTTAAACCTTTCTTGTCCTCAAAAAAATAACAAGTCGGGAATGAACCGTAAAGAATAAATAAATAAATAAAACTAATAATTAATTGTTTCAAAACTATGCATGGAAAACAAAACATGATCCAAATCCACAACCTCATCCATATCAAACAGTTAAGAATATGCAAATACACCACATGCCTTGAACCAACTTAGCCTTGCTACAAATATATACATTACAAAAAATTAAGACTTAATTATTCATTATCACAACCCAACAAAATCAAAAGTTAACGACACTTCTTCGAGGTCACCGGTATTGAATTAGCAATTGGAACAATATATGGTCTTACTTTCGTGAAAACATATGTAATGAAAAATATGCCCAGTCATCTTCATTTTGCAAATCATAACAATGAACGAATCTAGCTATTTGTTGATCAACAACAATCTTTTTCTAAAAATTCTTTTCTAAAAAGTCCTTATGATTTACCCAGATTAGTTACCTGTTTCACACCACTTACACCAGCTCAAGTCAATAGCAATCAGTCCCAATGTCATAAGTTCAAGTTTAAGTCCAAGGGTGTAACACCTGATTCAAGGTACTTTTCATTTTTTACCCTTGGTGTGTAAATAGTTTGCAAATTTGGTCCCTAGGGGGCATTGTTGCCATTTTAGGAAAAAGTGGGAGTACACTGGGCGTCTCGTATGCTGCACCCAGGGGGACAAACCCTAAATTTTAGGGTTTAGATGCTATTTAAGCAACATTATGACCCATGATCCCCTCATTTCTCAGCCTCCATTACCCTTTGAGCCTCATTTCGGAACCCTAACCCCCTCTAGAGAAGATTTGACCCTCTTTGTGTGTGTTTAAGTGTGTGTTAGTGAGCTTTGAGGAAGAAGGGTTTTGAAGAAGGAGCTTTGACCAAGGGAGATCATTGTATGTTGTTTTGGTCACTTTTGGTCCCATGAATGAGATCTAGTGTGAATTATTCAACTCCAGAAGTTAGGAGTTGCTTCCCTTAATGTTTCGGAGGCTCCTAGTCCATAAAGTTGGCCTCTTGATGGTTGAGGATCAACCATGCAAGTGTTTATGTCCATTTGGTGAAAGTAGGGTGCTAAATCTGGGGTTTGAGTTCATTTAAGCCATGCAAAGGTTCCAAGTTAATGAATTTATGGATTAAGACATTCTCCAAGGCTTGGATCTGAAGTTTGGATGTCTAGTTGTAAGCATTAAGTTCTTAAGGGAAAAAGAGCTTAACGAGCGCGTATGTTTGGCGTACGCAAGTGTACGTTGTGCGTACACGTTTGATTCCCCGATCAGGCATGCGACCTAGTACGTCGGGCGTACTTCTGGTACGCGCAAGCCTTGGGATTTGCGGTTTGGGCCATTTTTGGACTATTAGGGTTTTGGGCCTTGGTGGGCTACTAGCCTTTCTGACTTTGGGCCATTGTTAGGCTTTGGTCTTCTTGGATTTGGGTCCATATTGGGATTTAGGTAACCTTTAGGAATTGGGCCACTATTGGGCTTTTAGTGCCATTGAGTTTGGGCCTCGGATATTGGGACAAGTGAGGAAAGGGTAAAAAGGTATTTTGCCATGGGTGTTGGACCAATGAACTAGATTCCCAGTTATGGTTTATGACCCAATTATTAATTGGGATTTTATTTGGTTGGTTAGTGCGAGGATTCTCCGGTTCAGCAGCCCGAGCATCTATCGACTAACAGCAGATTGAGGTGAAACGTTAACATAGTGTCAAAATAAAACCCAATTCACCATTGAAACAAACTAGACCATATCAAAATTTAAAACCAAAACCAAAATCAAATTGGATTTCTACATATTGCTCCTCCTGATGCAGATCTATTACATGTCAGCGGAACTGAAGAACGAAGGTGTTCGGTGGTGGCTCCGGATTGCCAGCGGCAGTAGGTAGAGGGAATCACAGAGAGTGAAATTGAGGGCTAGGGTTGGAGTGAATAGTTGATTGATGGTGGTGTTTGGGTCAGTGGCGATGGAATCGCATGTTACATGTGGAACAACATCAACCCATTGGAGGGAATCATGATGGTGGTGGAGTCTGATATCTCACCGGAAAATAGGTCGTACAACTACATCGTCACAACCCTATTGCCGCCCCTTTTAACCACTTTCGGCCATCCATTTGCAAAACGAACACCATCGTCGGAGTCTCCATATCAACCGGTTTAAACCCACATTCTCTACTGGCATGAGAGGCTTGCCATTTTCTTTTACCGGAGGTGTGCATCACCGGGTTGCGTTGACACCACCTTATCTGGTGATGGTGGGATTCTTGGAGATGAACACGAGCACACCATCAGAAAGAGATGGTGGTGGTCAACTGAACTCTATACAAATGTTGCAGATACTTACTTTATTTGTGTTGTAAATCATATGCAAACAAGAGAGAGAGAGAGAGGTGGGTCCTTAATTATTTTTTTAATTATTAAAATAGATAAAAATAAATGAAAAATAAATACACAATGGTATTACAATAATTTTAATTTTCGGGGGGACGAAAACCACATAGAAACATGGTTAAAATGACCACGAAGCCAAAAAAAAATTGGGTTTTGACCAAAATCCAGAGAAAATACATATCATATGGATATTTTTGTAGTTTTGTCATAAACATATTAATTATATATATATATATATATATATATATATATATATATATATATATATATATATATATATATATATATATATATAAGTAAGTTCAAATAAAAACAGTAAATAGTGTGAGAACGTAAAAACATTATGTTTACGTTATTATTCTGTAATGAATGATGTATATGTGTATTGTTCAAGTAATTATAATATGAATAATAACGTTTGATTATTCATATAT